AAAACCATCCCTTTTTTTATTGAAACAAAAAAAATCAAATATTTGGGACTAAATCTAACAAAAGAGGTAAAGGACCTATACAAAGAAAACTATAAAACACTGTTAAAAGAAATAGAAGAAGACACAAAGAAATGGAAAGACATCCCCTGCTCATGGATTGGAAGAATAAACATTATTAAAATGGCCATCCTTCCAAAAGCAATATACAGATTCAATGCTATTCCAATCAAAATTTCAATGTCATTCTTCAAAGAAATAGAACAATTATTGATGAAATTCATATGGAATCACAAAAAACCCCGAATAGCCAAAGCTCTCCTGAAAAAAAGAAGGGAATGGAGGCATCACACTCCCAGACTTCAAACTCTACTACAAAGCCATAATCATCAAAACTGCATGGTATTGGAACAAGAACAGACATACAGACCAATGGAATAGAATAGAAAATCCAGAAATAAACCCACAGATTTATGGTCAACTAATCTTTGACAAAGGAGCAAAGACTATGCATTGGAGCAAAGAAAGTTTGTTCAATAAATGGTGCTGGGAAAACTGGGTCGCTACATGCAAAAGAATGAAGCTTGACCACTACCTCACACCATACACAAAAATCAACTCAAAATGGATTAAAGAACTAGACATAAGACCTGAAACCATAAAATATATAGAAGGAAATATAGGCGAAACACTACGTGATTTGCACATCAAAGACATCTTTACAGATACATCACCCAAAGCAGTGATAGTGAAGGGAAAGATAAACAGGTGGGACTACATCAAATTAAAGAGCTTCTGCACAGCAAAAGAGACAATAACAAAAACAAAGAGAAACCCCACCAACTGGGAGAACATTTTTGCACCCAACACTAATGATAAAGGACTGATCACAAAAATCTGCAAAGAGCTGATGAGACTCAACAACAACAAAGAAAATAATCCAGTCAAAAAATGGGCAGAAGAGCTAAAAAGAAACTTCTCTGAAGAGGAAATGCAAATGGCCAACAGGCATATGAAAAAATGTTCAACATCACTTGTCATCAGGGAAATGCAAATCAAAACTACCATGAGATACCATCTTACACCAGTGAGAATGGCACATATTAAAAAAACTAGCAACAACAAATGTTGGCGAGGGTGTGGAGAATAAGGAACTCTTCTGCATTGTTGGTGGGAGTGCAAACTGGTCCAACCACTGTGGAGAGCTGTGTGGAGATTTCTGGACCTACCAAACATAGAGCTTCCATATGATCCAGCAATTCCACTCCTAGGTATTTACCCAAAGGACACAGAAACATCAATTCCAAAGAACACCTGCACCCCTATGTTTATAGCAGCACTGTTTACAGTAGCTAAGCTTTGGAAACAACCCAAATGCCCAAAAATAGATGACTGGATCAAGAAGATGTGGTACATATATACCATGGAATATTACTTAGCATTCAAAAAAGATAAACACATGCAATTTGCAGCAACATGGATGGCGCTGGAAGGGATCATGCTCAGCGAAATAAGCCAAAAAGAAAAAGAAAAATACCGGATGGTCTCACTCATAGCAGGAATCTAGAAAACTTAAATAAGGGACCAGGAAAATGAATAACTATAAGAAAGTGAAAATCAAAATCAACAAAAAACTATGAACCAGAGACACTTTTAGGGGGGCGGGGGCAGGAGGGGAGGGATTGGGGTCAGAATGGGGGGGCTGCAATTGTATGGGGAATATAAAAATAAAATTTATTATTTAAAAAAAAAAGAAAATAAAAGTAATAATTTGTGGAATCTATGTCTCTGTTTATTTGAATTTTTTAAAAAAAATTAAAAACCATAAATTCACTGCATGTATTTCAAAGTGTCTCAATAAGACAATCCACATTAAAAAAGGAGTTTGTCCATAAAATATACAGAAGAAAAGATAGGCACAACCCTCCATGATATACATCTCAGAAATACCTGTGAGGACTAATTCCCAGGAGCAAAGAAAATGAAGGAAAATATAATCAGCTGGGATTACATCAAATTAAAAAGCTTCTGTACAGCTAAAGAGATAATAACCAAGAGGAAGAGACATCTCCAGGTTGAGAGAAAATATTGCACTCCATACAACTGATAAGGGATTGATATCAAAGATCTAAAAAGAGCTTACACAACAGAACAAAAACAAATCAAACAACCTCAATCAAAAAAAAAAAATGGGCAGAAGAACTGAAAAAGACACCTGTCCAAAGAGGAAATGTAAATGGCCATCAGGTATATGAAAAAATGTTCAGTATCACTTGTAATCACAGAAATGTAAATCAAAACCACAATCAGACACCACCTCACACCGGTGAGAATGGCCCATATTAAAAAAACAAAAACAAAAACTGGCAACAACAAATGCTGGTGAGGATGTGGAGAAAAAGGAACCCTCTAAAACTGCAGGTGGGAATGCAAACTGGTCCAATCACCATGGAAATCTGTGTGGAATAACCTCAAATTATTAAAATGGAGCTACCATATAACCCAGCAATTCCACTCCTAGGAATCTACCCAAATGACATAAAAATATTAATTCAAAAGGAACCTGCATTCCTATGTTTATTGAAGCACGATTTACAATAGCTAAAATATGAAAATAATCTAAATGCCCAAAAACAGATGAATGGATCAAGAAGATGTGGTATATGCACAATCAACAATCAAAAAAGATAAATGCGTGCCATTCACAGCAACATGCTAAGTGAAATAAGTCAGAAGGAAAATGAAAGATATTGGATGGTTTCACTTATAGGAGGAATGTGGGAAAACTGAACAAAGGGTTAGAAAAAAAGTCAAAATTAGCAGGCAAATTGTAGATCCAAGACTACAGCAGGGGAGAGGAAGGGCGAGTGGTCAAAATAGGGGAGGAAAGAGCACAAGGGACTATGGTGACGGTTCACAGGTGATGTGGTGGTGGGAGATTTAGGGGCACTACACCTGAGAGGAGAAATCAAATATTATACAATGGAAACGATCTAAATGCACATAAACAATATTTAAGAATTAATCAATAATTAATAATAAAAACAAAACCTAGAGAAAAGAGGACTTTGGAAAAACAGCAAGTCAGAGTGGCATTTTTCTGGATGCATGCTGAATGTACATTCTCAAAGGTGCATTCTCCACCTTTCTGGTATACAACCAGTCTACTTTGACAACATTCTCCATTGACCCCTGCAGAGAAATATTATGATCTTATGACCTGAAAGTATTTTAGTTTCTCTACTGTAATTCACTACCAAAAAAACTGAACACCCACCCCCACTCTCTCCATCTCCTTCTAAATCCTCCTCCATGACCCAAGAGGTCTATTCAGAAGCTGACTGGACCCTTTTGAAATCATTAATTTCCCTAGACTCTCTTTCTCTTTCCCATAGGGTCCCCATGAAGCCAGTAAAAATAGCGAAATCAATTTTTGTATATTAATGCAATCATCTAGCTGGTCATACAGATAAACATAAGTAAAGGAACAAAAAAGCACTGCATCTGGGGGTAACCTGGGACTAACTCTTAAGTAAAACATGATGGGAGGTACCTCTGCCTTCCTAGTTCTAGAAATGCCCTTTTAACACACACAGAAGAAAACAGTCAGGACTTGATTTCAGACCTCCATTTGAATTTTTTCTCTGTGCCTGAAATGCTGCTTTTGGCAAGAATGCCATGTACATGATCATAAATGGAGTATTTCTCAGGCTTATGCCTGGCAAGGGTCTCCATACCAATGAGCAGGATGTTCTAAGACACCTCATAACAAGATTTTCAATAATAAACAACAACTATTTTCAAAGTGTTTATTTATAGATCAAATAGAGAATTTTAAAGCCTCTTTAGATGTGAAGACCATTTGTCAAAAATCATGCAAAAAGTAAGTTATCCACAAAAACATTAATTCAAAAGGAAACCTGCACTCCTATCTTTACTGCAGCACTATTTACAATAGCTAAGATACGGAAACAACCTGAATGCCCTGAAACAGATGAGTGGATCAAGAAGATGTGGTATGTGTATATATATATGTATATATGTATATATATATACATATATATACATATATACATATATATATGTATATACATATATACATATATATACACATATATACATATATATACATATATACACACATATATATACACACACACAATGGAATACTACTCAGCAATCAAAAAAGATAAACTTATGCCATTTGCAGCAACATGGATGGAGCTGGAGGGGATTATGCTCTGTGAAATAAGTCAGAAGGAAAAGAAAAATATTGGATGATCTCATTTATAGGAGGAATATAGGGGAATGAAATAGGGGACTGGGGGAAAAAAGACAAAACAAAACTAGCAGGCAACTATAACTCAGAGATATACAGGAGGGCAGGGGAGGGAGAGGGATTAAAACATGGGAGCCAAGAGCACAGGAGACTAAGGTGATGATTCATGAGGGAATTTTATGGAGACTACACCTGAGAGGAGAAAGCAAACTGTACAAAAATGAATAATGATGTAAAATATATATATAGAGAGAGGATTTTTTAAATGTAAAAGAAAAGAATATATAGAAACTGAATAAAAGGTCAAGAAAAAGACAGAACTAGTGAAGTGACCATAGATCTGAGGCATCCAGCAGAGGAAGGGAAGGAGGGGGTCAAAACAGGGGAGGGAACCCCTTAGCAGTGTATTTCAGTGGATTTACCTGTTCCATTCCCCACTCTGTCCCTGCTGAATCCTCTCACCCCCCTCTTCCTTTGGCCTATACCCTAGTTCTTCTATGCTAAAATTTAAAAAAAAGGGGGTAGGAGGGAAGAGCACAAGGGAATATGATGATGGTTCATGGGTGCTGTGGTGGGGGGAGAACTATAGGGACTACACCTGAGGGGAAAAATCAATTGTTCAAAAATGAACAGCAATGTAAGAAAATTAAAAATAAGTAAATAATAAAATAAAATTTAAAAAGTAGAAGTCATCACTCATTCAGTCTTCTTTTTCGCCTCTTACCTTTATATAGCATCGACCGGAAGTCTTTACCTTCCCAGTAGCTTATATTTACTCTTGTGAAAACATTATATTTTTCTGGATAATGAATTTCAAACAAGACTCCTGTTTCAGGAGAAGGTTTATAGTCATATATTGAAACACTGGTTACAGGAAGAGGTTCTGCAGAAAGAAAGAAATGGAGAAAAGGGAATTGGGGAAGAAGAGGCAAAGGCCATAATTAATCTTTGGAAGTACAAAGGTCCCACCCATCAGAACCTCACACATTTTTATTATCTGGGGGTACTAAGCTTCTCCATACTCAAGTGTTCTCTTGAGTAGTAATTAATGAACCTCATTTCATATGGTGTTTCTGCCTTTCAGAGAACTTCCATATTCATTTTTCCTTTTGCAACAACCTTTAATTCTAGAAAGAGCAAATATTGATATTGCCCTTCAATGAATAAAAATAACAGTAACTCAGAGACCTTAAATTACATGTGAAAGATAACAAACACAGCAGCATCTCCATTTCGGGATTCCTAGTTCATTTTTCTTTTCCCCAGGTCAAGAATATTTGATGTTTTAACAAAAGTGTAACAGAAAATTCACTTGGGTTCTGACCAAGGACAAATGCTTATGCAATCAATTATTTCCTTGTGGGAACTTACCATTTATTGTTCTATATTTTATTGATAATTGCAAGCCACCTTATATTTTAAGAATTGTAGCTTATGCTGTTCATCAAACTACTTTCTACAGAAGTTTTTAAAAGTATATATTCCTATTTGCTTGAATTAATTCATCACACAATTTTTTTTAAATATTCCCTTTTTAAAAACCTATGATTGATGTATGTCAGCATCATTTCCACATCCCACCCTTTAGCAAATGTCTTATAAAATCACACAGCTCTCCCACCCTTCTGAAGTAATCATTGGATACGTTTCATTTGCTTCATTTAATTCAAGTAAATTTAATTAATTTGGTTTGGAATCAACTAATGTATTATTGCAAAAATAAGTTTGATTTAAAGGTTTAGAAGTGAGAGGATACTTGGAAATCTATATCCATGAAAGCAATATCCTTAGTTTAAATTTCACATTTTCAAATTTCAGTTTCAATAATGTAAGAAACCAAAACTTGTCATAGTTCATTCAAAGAATAATTATTGAGTGCCTACTTCATCTCAGTATGTAGCTAGCAGCTTTCATTTTGTTCCTCAAGATCTTAACTGACCTTTGCTTCTGATTATAAAGATCCAGAGTGTTTTAAACTACATGTCAAAGCTTTGCCATCTCCTGGAATTTCCTCAAAAACCAAATCAACATCTATCAGAAAGTTAGGATCTTGTTTCTGTGGACTGTTATATTCTCTGGTTAAAATGTTTCTATTTTATCTTTGTCTAATTCTTGAACTTCCTACTAAAGTAAGACAGAGTGAACTCACTTAAGTGCTGAGGAAACAAACCAACTAACTCCTGAAGATTCAGAGTTTTTCTCTTTGATTAATCGTAAAGAAGATTTAAACCATTTGAAGGTCTTTCAATCCAGTCTAATTACTAACATGGAGTCTAGCAAATCCACCTCTTGACTCTGGATCTAAGAGAATCAAAATGAAAGGTAACAGCAAAGAGCACCACAGAGGCATAATCCTCCCACTGCTGGGTCCAGTTGCACATGCTCACCAGGGTTCTGTCTACTCCAAAGAAAAGTTAAGGGTCCACTCAATCATTTGTGCCCAGGGACATTAGGTCTGCACATCAAAGCCACAGTTAAACTTTGAAATTCAAGCGATTACATGAGGATTAGTGCAGCTATTTTATTTTGTGATTTATTTATTTATTGGGCTGCTGCAAGATACTTAAACTTTAAACTAAGAGACTTTTTAAAATGTCTGCTGCTATGTGGGCTGCATATACTGCCTTCATCTTCATCATGAGTGACCCAGGTCGGCACTAACCTCTAATATCAGGCCTTACTGGTGCATATTCAATCAAGAATTACTAATTTCAACAAAACACAAATACATTCTCTAAAAATATTTTATTCTCTCTCCAGTCATTTCCTCATTATTTTTCTTTTGCAAAATTAAGTGATGTGTCCTAAACTGAAACTGTAATTACTTGTGTGTTTTTCAGTGATGAAAGGATAAATCTCTATCTAACTTACTTTTTCTCTACCAGTCACCCCATGACAATTCCCTTTCTTATCTAAAGAACCATGCTAGAGCAGAAAAACGGAGTTGTTAGAAAACATGAATCATTTATTATCTTTGATTGTTTATTACTTCTTTTTTTGCCCTAGGTCTTTTTGTTTTTCAAAAAATTAAGGGTTATACCAAAATGCTTTACTCGTCTGTGTTTTAAGGATTTTTGAGCTGTGTGAAGAGAAAAAAAGAAACTATTTGTGAGAAAGAGTTTTAGTTCTTCATGTTTCAAAGTCAACCTTGTGGTTAAAGATTACTAGTGTTAACTTTTGTGAACTGCTTAATTATTGTCCTTGTCCTTAATAAAATTAACAAAGCTAAAAAAAAAAAAATTAAGGGTTATATAATACAGTTGAAACTTCCCCATATAACTCACCCAGATCCCATTTGCCTCCCTCCAAGGCTAGAAGTGAATTATTCCTCTGGATTTGGTGTTTCCTTCATATAAGTGTAGTGAAAACCAATGTTCTCAATGAAGACTATTTTATGTCCCTTAATTACCTTAGAATCACTCATGACAGAACATAAATAGGAAGTTGTATAGAGTTCTGGATGTGAATATTTCAGCTAGAAGAAGAAACAGCAAATGTTGTTTAAGGAAAGCAAGGGAAGTGACATGAGCAACTTTTCTTGGGATTGCTCTGTTTGGGTGGACTAAAGTGAAGGAAGCTGCTAGATCAGTGATTATTAGCATCTTTGCCAACCTAAGAATGTGTCTCTCCTGACAAATTTCTTTTTTTTTTTTTTTTAAGATTTATTTATTTATACAAGCACTGGGTATAGTCAGAAGCACGGGAAAGCAATTCTTTCACGGGAAGGTGAAAGAATTCACCAGAGCCAGAGTGAGGAACAGAACAGGCAGACTGACGAAACACACTGCTGAGGGGAGCAGCGGGCATGGCAGGAGAGGTCTGTCGCGTCATGTGGGACCCTCGCCGGCAGCCAGGGATCGAACCAGCGCTGCAGAGGCTGTGGGCATCTTCACAGCCCAGCGCTCAACCGCTGCTCCACCAGGGAGGCCCTCTCCTGACAAATTTCTCTTGAGTGACTGAGCCCTCACATCTGAAGGCAGGAGTAGGGGAAAGAGACAGATCCTGGGTCCCAGATCAGAGTTACTGCTCTGGGTTTAGATGCAGAAGCCTTCACCTGATGGCTCAGCCAGACCCAAGCAGGGCACTGAGATGAGCTGGTGGCAGTAGCCACCTAGAGCCCAGGAAGGGGGTGGTCACATAACTACTATCTCAGCTCAAGCCATTGTTTCCTTTCTGCAATAATTCAACCATTATACTCCCTACCTCCAGCCCTCCTCAGTTACTTGATTCTGTTCAAAACTTCTAAGACTGCAGGTCACTTGACACTTAGTTTTGTCAGATTCTCTGCCTTAAACCAGTCACTTCCACCTTCCTGGCTTCCCTGCCTGATTAGTTTTGATTCTCATTTGCTCCCAACCCCTTGAGGAATTTTTTATTTAGTGCCATTTTGCAGTTTGGCATTAAACACACATCACACAAAGAAGGCAATGGTGTTGCTTATATTTACTGATCTTATACTAGGCACTACACACTTTGTTAGGGAGTTTAACTTTTCTGATATTACCAAAAGCCATTACATTATTTTCAGTGCCCACTATGAAATCTGCACACTAGAATCACAAGCCAGTCTAGCCTCCCACTTACTTCCACACGACGTGTAGAGTAAGAATGGCTTCTATCCTTTTCAATGGTTCACAAAAATCAACAGAAGAATGCTATTCCATGACACAAGAAATTCACATTTTGGTGTCTTTAAATAAAGTCTTATTAGGACATAGCCCTGCTTATTTACTTATGTATTTTCTGTGGCTGTTTTGGTGTGGCAACAGCAGAACTGAGTAATTGTGACATAGACTGCATGGGCAACACAGTACAAAACATTTGTTATCTAGGCCTCTATAAGAACAGTTTGTGAGGGGGGCCTCCCTGGTGGTGCAGGGGGTTGAGCACAGTGCTGTGAAGCTGTCCCCAGCCTCTGCAGCACCGGTTTGATCCCTGGCTTGCCAGAGATCTACCCACATGGCGCAGCAGACCTCTCCTGTCTCGCCCACTGCTCCCCTCAACAGTGTTTTTCAGTCAATCTCTCTGTTCTGTTCCCCACTCTGTCGCTGGTGAATCCTCTCACCCCTGCCCCCGCACCTCTGGCCTATACCCCAGTTCTTGTATTCATAAATAAATAAATCTTAAAAAAAAAGAACAGTTTGCTAGGGCCTCCCTGGTGACAGAGGGGTTAAAGTCTCAGTGCTATCAAGCTATCGCCAGCCACTGCAGCATAAGTTCAATCCATGGCCAGGGACATAACCCATATAGCACAGCAAACTTCTCCTTGTCTCTCCCACTGCTCCCCTCAGGAGTGTATTTCAATAGATCTGCCTATTCTGCTCTCCACTAGTTCCTTGATAAATCCTTTCACACAAAACCCCACTCCCCACACCTCTGGTCTATACCTGTTCTTATATGCATAAATAAATAAAAATAAATCTTTTTTTTAAAGAAAACTTTGCTAATCCTTGGACTAGATTATAGATTAGGAAACTAAGATTAATAATTTGCCTAATATTACCCATATGATTTCCAGATTTCTTGGGTTCTGAGGTTCATGCTTTGAAACACTTCTCAGAATGCGTGCTTGATAATCTGTTCATTATAGTCTGGGATGCAGGATGCTCTGACTTGCAACTCTGTTCTAAGAAGGAGCGTATCCCAGTCCAAAATCATTATACCATTTCTTTGTATAAAATCTGTCATCACTCATCATCACTCAGCAATTAAAGTCTAAACTTTGCAAGGTTTTCAAAGATCTTCCAAGTTTTACAGTCACCTTCCCTATTACTTTCTGGAGCCTGGATGCTTGCCAACCAACCACCATTGCAGTCCCCCAGTATGCCATGCTGGGTGGTCCTACATTCCCAGCACATGCTATTCCCTTGACTCTGACTGTCA